CCCTTAATACACAGCATTTTTATCATCTTTAAGACAAAGTAGCTGGCAAAATATTTAAGTGATCGGGAAGAAATGTTTTTATTTGCCCGCGTGTGAATTGGGTTATCTGCCTATCTTGTTTATGAAATTTGGGGCTGCCTTTCCAGCACAGTATGTTCGCCTCTCAAATCTTTCCCGGCTCCCATTTCCATATTTCTGCGTGCTTGTTCTTTGTTAATCACTTGGCAAGCGCTTATTTGAATATTAAAAATTTCTTTAATCATCAAAGGCAGGAGCACAGTCTCATGAATATTCATATTTTCCCCCCTCCTCAGACTGGATTCTAGTTCATTACCCTGCAGTAAAAGCCAAACAGCCATCAATCGCCCTCATTACAGGCTCTGGCGTTTTGATTGGCTGCCTGCTGCCCAGAGCTTTTTTTTTTAAATTTTCTCCTTCTCCTATGAGCTGACTTGTACCTGCCAACAACCACACCAAAAAAAAAAAAAAAAAAAAATCAACAATGCAAGAATAAATTTTTCTGGTTGAAAAACAACTTTGCAAACTTATCATACAGTCCTGTGGCTTGTTGCCGCCTTAGCGGCCACCAGCGCCTCCACCCTTCCCTCTTACCCCCCCCCCCCCAAAAAAAAAAAAAAAAAAACCTAGGGAAAAAAGGGGGAGGGAAGAGAGAGAAAATTAAATAAATAAATAAAAAGGGAGAAACTTGAGCCTCAGAGATGAATATTTGTCAAGAGAGTTGACGTAAGTTTCATTTGCATAATGACTTTGTACTTCTGCATTAATAAAATTTGCATATGAAGCCATGTTAATTACTCCTGATCATGCTTTTTGCATTCATGCATAGTAATTTTCTCCGACTTGTGAGAATTAATGTCTTGGCATGGGGGGAGGGGGCGCGGGGACTGTCAGGTTCCCTTGCCAGTGTCCCTCGCTCACATGCCTGGCTCCCTGTCTGTCTCCTTTGCTGATCTATGACTCATTTCTGCACTATCAGTAGGAGTTCTCGCCTTAAAAAACTGTATCCGTTGAAAGGCACCAGTAGGGAGAAAAATAGACCTCTCCCGCGCAGTGTATTCCGGGCCACCTCTCTGGCTGGGGACGCGGCATCTGCAGTCCTGCCATCCCGGAGCGGCTGCTGCCACGGGACGCGGCGCTGGGCCGGGCTGGCTCCCCTCTCGCCGGGGTGGGGCGTTTCCAGGCGTTTTGTGTCTGCACGCTCAAGGTGGGCGTGTCGCCGCTAGTGCGCATGTGTGAGGCTTGGAGCGGAGCATCTGCAGGGCCCCGGGAGGGAGGAGGGCTGCAGACCCCTCGGAATGCTTCGGGCCGGGAAGGCATTGAAATGAGCTCGCGCCCGATGATGCTGGAGCTTCGGAAGCATTTTAGGGAGACTTTTTGGGTTATCTTTTTGTACCAGATACAGAGAGCCGGGTGGCAGTTTCTGGCCTTCCTAAGCCCAGTGCGTCTGGGCGCCTTCTTCAGTCTTTCCCAGCCTCAGTTTCCTCTTTTGTGAGAGTGGGATATGCTACCCCATAGGAAGGCTCTGGGCTTGCTTGAGATAACTCAGGTATTAATCGTTTATTTATTTTTCCTTAGTTAAAGTGAACTTCCATGATTTAAAAATAAATCAAGCCAGCCACGATTTTATTTATAAGCCCCCTGGATCCAACTTAAAACTGAGATGGTGGCTTGGCATCCCTAGGTGCATGGGGGTCTGTTCAGATTCCAAACGGGACCCATGGACTGCAAAAGAAATCATTTTACATTTTTATTTACTCTCGTAATGCTGGGGATGGACTCCAGGGCTTCCAGGTTGCTGGGCAGGCCCACTATCCCTGAGCCACACCTCCAGCCCCTGAAGGGTTTCTTTTTAAAACAGTGACTCTCAGGTCTTTGTAGGCTCCCTCCACCAGGCAGCTCCAGTGCTGTGAGAAGCACCCTTGGGAGTAGGGATTCCAAAATGGAAAACTAGAAAGGGATCGGATCATTTAGTGGTCACTAAGACGGTGACTAAGTTTACCAGATGTCTAACTTTGGTTCATGTTGTCCTGACCCTTTCAAAATGAGGAAGCTGAGGCTCTGAGAAAGTGATCACCTTAGGTCACATGGCCAGGGGATGGCAGAGGAAGGATGTGAACCCAGGCTCTCTCCTGGCCCACCCCCAAGGCCGCTGCGCTGCTCTCAGGTGCTCTTTACCCACAACTCCAGATTTCCTGGCTGCACTTTTAAAGGCAAACACTCCTCCCTGTGGAAGGGCAGGGCTGGGAGGTGGCCTGGGACAGGTATTGAGGCCTAGAGACAGTGTCCTCACCTTTGATTTTTTTTTTTTTAAGATTCTCTAAATGTAGAATTCACCATTTCGTCTGTCAGTGGTTTTGATTATATTTACAGTGTGTGCAGCCGTTACCACTGTCTGATTGCAGATAATCTAATTTATACTCCTACACAGAAACCCTGCACCCATTAGCTCCCAGCCCCCGGCAACCTGGACCTTCCGTCTCCATTCATTTGCCTGTTCTGGATGTTTCCTATCCATGGAATCATATGATGGATGGTTTCTTGCATCACTTAACTTGTGCTGTAGCTGCAGAGGGGACTTCTTGAATCCCACCTTTGGGGAGAGTTGTAGTCTAAGCTGCCCCCAGGGACATCCTCCTGCATGGCAGAGGGTAGCCTAAGAGTCCCAGAGGCCCTCACTCTGCCGCCCGCTCTTTTGCTTCTTCTGAGCCACTCCTGAAGCAGGGGACTTCAGTGTGGTCAGCATTCCTAAGGAGGCCCTGGGGTGCAGCCCCAACCCTGTGCAGAGCATTGTGTTATGGTATGTGACCTGCGCTGACAGACTCTGGTCTAGCCCACTGCTGCCCTTTGCTTCCTGCTCCTTGGCTCTTCTGCTCATCAGGGGAATGGAGTCAGGTGGGTGTTTTCTGGGACAGCTGACTCCCAGGCTGCGAGGTGCTGCACAGCTGGGGTCAGTGCTGCTGGCTGTGTTGCCGTCTTGCCCAGAGCCCAGGAGCCAGAGTCTGGACTTGGCTCTTTACAGCTATTGATGGCTGGATTGAGGTCAAGGACTCTTAGGCTTCCCTGCCCAGCACGTCCCTTGCTCTCAGGATACCAGGTGTCCTGGTCCCTCCATCCCAACTGCAGCCATAGAGGGAAACAGAAGATATAGCTGGACTCATGGTCCAGAGCTCCCCAAGCCTCAGGCCCCACGTATTCCCACTTGCTGAACAGGTGGTTAGGGTATACTCAGCACAAAGCCACTGTCAGGGCCACAGAGGGTCCAGAGCCCACCATGGTCTGAGGGAGGTTCCATGTAGGACTTAGAGGCCTGTAGTGGACAGGGTCAGATGTTCAATGTCCAGTTCCAGGCTGGGGGTTCAGGCAAGAGCTGTCCAGGGCAGACTTTCGCAAGGAGGCAGGTGACACTGGCCTCAGATGCAGACCTTTTTTGGTGCCTACACTAAATCTGGGTTTTGACCTTCCTGTCAGCCTCTGGGGTTGGAACTGCTCAGGGGTTCTTTGGCCACGCCCTTCTGGGGCTGTGGCCAGTTCTGAGACAGCCGGGTGCTTGGGCTAGCCTAGTGCAAAGTCTTCATGGGCCTGGGCAGTGTTGGCACTAGCTTTGTTTGTGGCCTCTTGGCAGGACATATTCAGAGTTCCCAAGCTTCAAGCTGGGGTTCTTCTCACATGCCACGAAGACCCTTATCCTGGATTCACATTTTAGACAAACAGAGCATGTCAAAAAAGAGCTCTGGTTTTAGAGCCAGGCAGCAGGGTTTGATGGGGTCAGTTGCTGGGATCTGCAGCTTTCTGAGTCATGGCCTCAGTTTCCTGGTCTGTGCAATGGGTGTCCTAGGTCCATGCCCACTGTGGCATATTAGGAGGCTCAGTCACATGAAGACAGACAGGTTCCTGGTTTGCAGTCGGTGGCTGAGCCCAGTGGCTCTTCCTGGGATGGGGGAGTCACACATGGTGGCTGTGGAGTGGGCCAATTCCCCTCATGCAGACCTGTGCTGGGAGGTGAGGTGCTGTAGCCTCTCTGGCGAGCCGACTGGGCTCAGCTGCCCATCATCTCGTTGATGTTTTCTTTTTGTCTCTCTGATGCTTCTCTGCTCAATTATTTACCCAGGGAATTTGGGCTTCTTCACTTGTGGTTTTGGCAAGGGCTTCACACAAATGTTTTGCCCTGGTGGTCTCTTAGCCATGTAAGATAAACGGCCAAATCAAACGCAGGCCTTGCCGGCAGCCCAGGCGAGCTGTAGGGCTGGGCGGAGGCAAGGCGGGCCCTGGCCGGGCCCTCCGAGTTGCTGTCAGACACTGGGGGTGGCGAGTGGGGGAAGCAGGGACTCCCAAGCCAGGGCTGAGACATGAAGAGGGGTCTGGGCTGTGCCAGGTTTTCCTGAGGGTGGAGGGAGGAGGGAATCGAAGCAACCCGGGCTTGGGTGCTGCTTGCGGGGGACTGGAGAGAGGCCTCAGCTAGTAGTTAGCTAGGCAGCTCGCTCCCCAGTGCCCAGCCCCTTCGAGGTGGACTTGAGGAGCCCAGGCCTGTCCTAAGAGCCCATCGCGGTGTCAGACGGTGGCGGCTCCGAGCTTCCCAGTTCTTCCCGGGGTAGCCCAGATTTGGGGGAAGAAATCCCCAATAGGAGCCTGCTCCAGTTTGCTACAGAAGACCCTTCCTGGAAGGGTCTTTCCTGGGAGTGGGGCCCTGACAGTCCCTATGTGCCTTAGCCCCCTACACAAGGCCCCCAGAAGTGGGGTGTCAGTCCCTAGACCTGGCAGCTGTGGATACAGGACTCTCTCCAGTGCCCCCTGCCCACTTCCCTGACCCCCTCTCCCCTCCCTGTGCCCTGGTCACCCTCCCTGCAGGGCCTGGCACCCCTGGGGCCTCCGGCCCTTGAAGGCTGGCTGCAGCCCTGCACCCCGGGCCCCCTCCCATGCCCTAAGCCCCTTGTGCAGTCCAGGGCCCGACTGACCGGTCTTTTCTATTGTTTTTTCTCCAGGGCCGTGCAGGCCTGCCCAGCTGCCAGCGATGGCCCCCATAGCTGCCTCCTCCCACCCTCACACATCCGTGATCACTCCACCTCTGCGCGCCCTGGGCGCTCTCCCGCCCTGCTTCCCGCTGCCCTGCTGCAGCGCACGCCCGGTCTCGGGCGACGGGACTCAGGGTGAGGGTCAGACGGAGGCTCCCTTTGGATGCCAGTGTCAGTTGTCAGGTAACGAGGCCGCCGCGATGGGGGGGTGGGCTCCCGGGGATGGCGGGGTGTGCCCGGGCAGAGCAGGGGACCTAAGGTGGGACCCAGGGAGGAAGAGCAACCCTCACCCAAAAGGCATTTTTGGGGTGCTCTGGGAAGCGGTGAAGGATGTCCACAGAACTGTAAACCCGTGACTGGTCCCCATGGGTCAGGAGGTCCCTCCACCCCTGTTCCCCCCACTCCCAGAATGCATTGCCCAGCCTCCAAATTTCATCTCTTTGGGCTGTTTAGCTAAAGCTTAATTGGATAACGCTTAACATCTGAGGTTTTCTTCTGCCCCTGCCTCTGCTCCCCCGCCCCCCTGCCACCCTGACGAGGCCGGGAGATTCCTTGGTTGTCTGTGTGCAGATTCCTTGGTTGTCTGTGTGCATCGCCGGAGCCATCTGAAATGCTGAATTTCTCTTTGGGACAATGTGTTGCCCATTAACTTAGAGGGGAAAAAAAAATGTTGCTCAAAAGGAGCCTTTTAAAAATCTGTGGCCACGGGAGGGAGTGAAACATTCTGGGGGCGGGTGTGGGCAGGGACAGGGGCCTGGCTCTGGGCGGACCTCAGACCTTCACATCTGTGCTTGCCCCCGCTCCCCCTGCTCCCCTGGGAGGCCATGTGGCTGCCCATAACGCAGACGGGCAGGCAGGGCAGCAAGGCGACGCTCGGCCTCCGCCTCCTCCCCACTCTCTCCCCAGAGAGAACCCAAAGTCCTGTGGCCTGGGTTCCCCAGAAGCTCGCGGGCGGAGGGCGCTCACTGCAGCTCTAGCAGGCCTGGTGTGCAGTGCGCGATAGCTGCGTGAGCCAGGATGCTGACACAGACTCACGTGGCCATGGCTGTGGCCTGGTTTCCGTGGCAGGGGCTGGAAAGGAGAGGGTGGCTGCAGAGCTGGGGCAGATTCAATTTGTTCCTGCCCCGTCACCAGGCACACTGCAGGCTTTCTCTTGACTCAAGATGTCAAAGGAAGACTTTGTATTAAGCAGGTTTTGCTTTTCATTGATGCTGTCCCAAGGGACAGTCCTTGGTGGAGCATGAACTTTGCAAATGGCCCCTGCTAGCCTCTGCTCCAGGGCAGGAACTCCTGGCCTTCCTGCTGGTGGGGTGGCCCGCAGCCTTCAGTGCCACCCTGCTGTGACGGGTGATGACATCATAGGATCTGGCTTCCAGGGGGAAGTTCTGGTTTTTTTATTGGGCTTGTGCCTTAAATGCTCAAAGATCAGAATCACCCGGGAAGGAGTTGGAACTACTTGTAAAGAAGCTGGCTGCCTGTCTGGGGCTGCCTGTTCCCCAGGGTGGTTGGGGCTCCTGTACTGGCTTGGTTGTCGATTGCTCTGTGAGTCTGGGGAGGACCTTTTTGCCCAGCGAGGGTTGTCTGCTCTGTCTGGGTGGCTGCCCCACTCTCATGGCTTCCTGTAATTAGTGCAGCAGCCCTGCAGCCCTGCAGCCACTGGGGGGGCCACGCTATCAAAGATCAGCTTGAGTGTTTACGACCGGACTCGGTCAAGTTCTGCATGTAGAAACACGATCTCCTCGCCAGAGGCGCACCCGAGTTTGCTTAACCCTCTGTTGGCTCCGGCCCTCCTTAGAAGCTGCCAGAGTGGAGGAGAGTTAGCCACGGGACCGGGCACCTCCCTGACAGGGTGGGCTCTCCTGGCAGCTTTGTGGAGTGCCAGGCAGGAGCCACTGCAGTCCAGTTGTGCAGATGGGGGTGGAGGTGGGGGCAAAGTCTGGGAGGGCATGTGGCTGGGCCAAGGCTGCAGGACTGGGATTTGTCTCTGGGAGGCCTCCTGAGCAGGCCAGCTCTCTTCCCAGGGAGCCACACTGCCTCTGCCTCTGTGCAGTGGAGGATGAGCAAGGTTTGCCCGGCCTGACTCCCTGTGAACTCTGCCATCATCTGTCCCCACATACTCTACTGGGCTCCTGATAAGGGCCATGCCGAGCGTGGGCACTGCCTGACACCAGACATTTGCGTGCGTTCTTGAACGCAGTCCTCACAGCAGGCTCACACTTTACTCCCCCACTTTATGGATGAGCCTTGGAGACGTGGTGGTCTCACGGCTCACATGCACCCGCTCATTCTTCAGCCAAAAGCCATCTCTTGGGCACCTGCTTTTAGGCACCCTGCAAATAGAGTGTGGGCTCCTGCCCGCCTGCAGCTTGTATTCTGCTGCGGGGAAGAAGGTATGGGGTGAGAACCTGAAGTAAGAGTGGTGGGAAGGTGGGAGAGCAGGCAGCGAGGAAGTCGCCCTTGTCCAGCACCCGCCTCGTCAGTGGCCTGGGCGCATCTCTGGATTTTAGGGCTTCAGAAGTTCCAGGGCTCTGGCCTGTGAGCAATGCCATGCTTGGGGAGAAGAGTGGGCAAGGGTGAGGCACTGTTCCTGGGGTTGGGACCACAGTGGTCAGCTCCTGGGCCTTTTGGGAGCCACCCCTGAGGGGCCTGCTCTTGCTTGCCACCCTCTGCTCCACACTCTATGCTTTTCTCGTTCTTCTTTTGGTCCCTGCTTATTAGCCTGCACCAGAGTGGACTGTCATATTAGCCTGCACCAGAGTGGACTGTCATATTAGCCTGCACCAGAGTGGACTGTCATATTAGCCTGCACCAGAGTGGACTGTCATATTTGCTGATCAATTTCAATACCTGAAAATATCCCATTCCAGTGGTTCTTGTCCCTTTGTGGTTTCTGTCCCTGTGACTGGGCTGTTTAAGTGTTTTTAGTGCCTGTTTAATTAGTAGCTGGAAGGGAGTCGTTCAATTCCCAGTAACGGTTAGGAGGAAGCAGTCCGCTGTACCAATGGAGCGGGGCTGCCGTTCTCACTTTGTTTTGTCCCTTTTTGGATGAGGATGCGTTGAACCCATCTCTTGAAATCAATAGGGCAAGCCCCTGTGCAAATGTGTCGTACACAGGTTAACTGTGTGCTGTAAATGCACTCTCGGTTATTTATAGAAGGTGTGAGTCTGTGGGGGGAAGCGTACAGGTGTGGTTCACCTCCATCCCAGTGTCCCAGAAGCTCTGCCCCCCACTCTGGGCCTCCTACGGTGGTCACAGTGGGAAGCAGGGACTCTGGGCCTGTTTCCTGTGGACTCTGCTGTTGTAATGTGGGGCTCTGAGCTGAGGCCCTGCTGGGGCTCAAAAACCTTCCCTGAGAAATTCCAAGTGAAGGCTGCGGGGCACCTGTGGTCCTGTCTGGTCAGTGGACTTGAAGATGTCATTGCTCCTCTTTGAGCCTTGTTTTTTTTTTTTTTAAAACCCCCCCCCCCCCCCCCCATATATATATACATTCACATAGACATTTTCATGTTGTTCTCTGAAGCAGATCACTGGGGGCTGCATGGGGCTTGGTGGGGGTTCCACGATGGATATGGGGGCAGAGGGTGGGAAGTAAGAGCAAGCCCCTCAGAAGTGGCTCCTGGAAAGGTCCAGGGGGACTGACCACTATAGTCTCCTCCCCAGGACTCAGGAGGCCACTGAAGATTGCTGGGCTTCCCCTTCCCCCCAGCACTTCTCTGTTCTGAGGTTTCTGTGATTGGAAGGTGGTCATCAGAGCGTATCAGATTTCTGGGGGGTGCAGTGTGAACTGGGTGGCCTCAGATGGGCCATGGTCCTTCTCCTTTCCTCCATTTCCCCATCTGTGAATTGGGGGTAATATTAGCTCCTGGGGTTGATCCTAGGATTGCCTGGGGTCACATAGGCCAGGTGCCGAGTGTGAGAACAGTGCCTTGTGCTGAGCGGACCCACAGGAGCAGAAGGGCTTCCTACTTGGCAGTGCTGGGTGCCTGGCACTGTGCGGAGGTCCTCTCAAGCTGCGTGCCTGGCATCACACTTAAAGGTATTGAGCGCCTTGGCTGCCGCAGATCATGCACCAGCATTAGGAGGCGAAAAAGGAACGCAGACACTTCATTGCATATTTAAAGGCTGCAAATGGTCATCAGCCACAGTGATTAATACATGCGCTTGGAGAAGTTCAAGGTCTCATGCAAGAACACACAGGATCCCGGCTCGGGGAAGTGGAAGTGTTTGGATTTAATAGAGGGAGTCAGTTGCAGTCATTAGTATATGCTGAAATCACAGGGCAATCTTGTAAAGTTAAATTCAATTTACTTTTCTACTGAAATTGTGCTTGCTGTGTTATTTAACTAGTCTGGGGTTTCTTGGCATGGGTTAAAGGGACAATAAAGATAAAAGAATACCTGTAAGTAAATAGTAGGGTTGAACAGTAGAATCTATCGTTTTCTCCTCCTTCAATTATATCCCAGCGTTCCTTCTGTGTCGGTTTTATAACCGGAGCCGTCCAATGGGAGGCCGTGGATTAGACCACCCTCGCTGCAAAGGCCTGATGCAATTAATACAGTCTGTCTGGAAAGTGGCCTTATTTCTGGAAGTTTTATGTTAATGATATGGTCTGCGCTTTGCACATTTCATACCAGAACAAGAAGCAAGCTGGAGTTGCTTTCTGAACTGGGTTTGATTAACAGCGGAGGATCCATGTGCAGCCCAGCAGCGATGCGGACAGACGGCCACCTCCCCGAGCCCCCGCTGATGCTCAGCAGGGCTGCAGTGGGCACTAGGGTCTCCTTTGGGACTCTGGAGGGAGGGGTGAGTACGGGGTGAAGAAGAGAAGGGAGGCTGTGGACGGACCTCTTTCTGGTTGGTGCCCTGGGACTGGCTCCCTTGCACAGTAGCCGTCTTTAGGGTCGTCCAGGTCCCAGGGTCAGTGGGGTTGGCTTCTGGTAGATACAGCGCTCTCCGGGAGTTTTACAGATTCAGAGTCATCTGCACGCCTACGTTGCCCAAGGGGCCGCCGCTCCCAGCACTCAGGACCCAGCATTCACCGCGTCCCCGGAGAGTCCTTCCTGCCAGTTCCTGGATTCCGCGCTGGCGTGTGTCCTCTTGGGATGCTCTGCTGAGAGGTCTTCCTCCACCGCCTGCCTGGCAACCAGGCGCCACCCTCGGCCACTGGAGGTAGTGCCTGGAG